ATATCAAGAAATTGCAATTAAAAACCAAGAAATTGCAGAAATAACAAGAGAAGAATTAGACAACACACAAAAAGAAAATGAGACACAAAAACAAATAATATCAAAACAACAAGATGATATTGAAAATTTTATCTCACAGAAGGAACTAGAGAAGAAGAAAACGATGACACTTGTGATAAATACACAACCAGTAATGAGGAAAGCATCATCAGGAACAATGGAGATGAACGAAACTACTCCTATGAAAAAGACAGTAGTGGAAATCGAAGAGAAAAGCAAAGCACTGATTGTCAAAAAACAAGAGATGACAGTCAGACAAGAAATACAACAGAACAAAGAAATCGAATTTTAATTGAAGTGTTGTATTGTTTTGCAATTAATTGGTTGAATAAAAAATTATATAAGAAATTAAGATGGGAACAAATTGAAAGTATAATTAAAGCAATAAACATCAATGTCAATAATGAAAAAGAATATATTAAATATATTAAAATATCACGTAAAATAAAAGAAAGCACTAAAAGGCACATTAGAGTGAAAGTAAATGATATAATGGAAGGAAGAGTAGAGTGTAATTCAATAATAAAAAACATCATATTAAAGAATAACTCTACTGAAATTGATGAAGAATACCTTAACACTCTCATCAATAAAATAAAAGAAATGAAAGTAGAAAAATGTTCAAACATTAATTACTACTTTCAAAGAAAAGAAGCTGACCGATTAATAATGGAAATTAATAATAGATGGATAATATCAAGAAGCAGAATGCATTATCTGCAAGATGATATGAAGAGGATTTCAATGGTTATGCACATCTATCTCCAAAATAAAATAATAAGAGATAAATTTGATGAAATAAAAGAAATCCTAAAGAAAATAAATAGACTAGAAGATTTGGTCAAGGGAAGGAAATGGTACAGGATAAAGTGCATCATGAAATTAAATGAACATGATGAAGAATGAATAAAAGTAAAAGCACTAGAAAGAATAAAGTACCTAAAATATATGATGACAATGAATAAAGAATTAAATTTAATAAGGAAGAAATAATCAGAATCAATACAAATAAAATAATGTTTGATTCTAACAAGAAAATTAGAATAAGGAAGAAAGACCCAAAAAATGAAATATACCCAAATAACGATACTACTTTAGAATATTGGAAATCGTTATATGAAACACAGGTGATATTAAATAAAGAGAAATGGAAAATAAAACAAATCACCTCATGGAATGAAAGATATAGAAACTATGATAGTGTCATAATAACAATAAATGAATTAAATTTAAGTATAATGAAAATTAATAACTGGAAAGCACAATGAATAGACACTATATATGGGTATTATTTGAAAAGAATGTCATCATCAAGAGAAGCCATTCTTAATATCTTTAACGAATGGTTGAACTTCCCTGAAAACATCCCATTAGATATGGTAAGTGGAAGAACTTTATTAATCCACAAAGGAGGTGATAGGAACGACGTCACTAATTATCGTCATATCAGTTGTACAAATGTAATTATGAAAGTATTTACCTCCATATTAAAAGAAAAGATTCACAGAAGACTTAACATGAATTGTGAATCATTGAAAATTAGTAATAATCAACTGGGATGTAAGTTACAATCTTTAGCTGCTAAAGAAGGAATAATAAATAGTTATATGTTAAAGCAGCAGAAAGAAGATAAATACCCAAAATATGATGAGTCATATTATGACATCAAGAAAGCATATGACACAGTAAACAACGAATGGGTAATTGAATCATTAAAATATTTTAATGTAGAGGGTGTCATCATTGACATTATTGAAAGTATGATGACTAGATGGAAGATATTCATCGGTTATAAATTTAATGAATATCTAGGATATATTAAATTAAATAGATGAATTTTACAAATGATTCCTTATCAAATCTACTCTTCATCATACAGATGAATGTAATTTCTCAAATCATCGAAGAGAAATTCCCAAAATCAAATCACACATTATATATTGATGAATTGAGCATAATGACGGAAAGTAGTGAAGAAATGGGAATAATCCACAATGAAATTAAAGAAATAATAAGTGGAATAGGGATGGAAATGAATGAGAAAAAGTCAGGAATGGTATTAAAAAACATTAAGGAAATACCAAATGGAATGCAAAACATCCCAGTCATTGAATGTGATGACTTGTATAAATATTTAGGAATATGGCAGTCCGACGAAATTGATGACACCTTCAATTGTAAAACCATCAAAGAAAAAATGAATCAGAAGATGGAAGAAATAAACACTGATGATAGCAGTAATAGAAGATATATTACTAGAATAAACACAGAAGTAATCAATATCTTCAGATATTCAGCATCAGTTATAAATTGGAAAATCACTGACCTAGATAAAATTGATTTGGAGATAAGAAAATATTTAAGAAAGGCAAAATACAATGGTGAAACTCCAAAGATCGGTTATATGTCATTATAGAAGAAATGGGTGAAGGATTAATAAATATAAGGGACGAATATGTTATTGAATTAGTAAGAACAGTGATGTACTACTGTACCAGAGAAAGTGAAATAAGAAATAACATATTAGATAGATGGTACAGTAAGAAAGGAATGTGGAATAGAATTAAAAAACACTAATTCATAAAATCCCAGAAACAAAAATAGAAGAAATAATAAATGAAAATATAGAAAAGAAAAAAGAAAAAGAAGTAGTAGTAGAAATAAAAAAATTATTGACAAATACATCAAAATATAGAAGTGTCATCAAATTAGTGGATATTTTAGAAGATGGTTCGAGTCAAAAGGAGTAGATAAAACTACTACAGTGAAAGCATGGAAGTCTATCAATATTAAAAAAAATTCATTTCTCCAATTAACTAAAATGCAAGATGGTGCAATATTTTGTAGGTATAGAAAAGCAAAAATAATGAAAAATGAAAGATTGAAATACTAAACACTTTGTAAAGACAAGATAGCAACAGTAGAATCCATCCTAATATCTTGTATTTATCATAAAAATCACAAATGGAAAAACATGACAATATTAGCATTATAATATTGATTAATAAGAAAATACACTGGAAATATTCAATATAAAAACCTCCATATGAAACAATGTTCAAATATAAAGACATTACAATGATATGGAATATACAAATAATGCCTAAAAGTGAATGATAATATAATAAAATACCAGACATATATGTATTAGATAAAAAGAATAAAACTGGTCTAATATTTGATATGACTATTGTGGCTGATCACAATATTAATTGAGTGTATTTGAAGAAAAGAAATAAGTATAAGGAATTAAAGAATAGGCTAATGAAGATAGAAAAATTAAAAGATGTCAGAATAATTCCAGTAGTAATCTCAATAAATGGATTAATGAATAAAGAAAGTATTAAATTAATTAAAGAATTAAAAATTGAGATTAACATCGAGAAAGAAGTAAAAAACCTTGTCATAAAAAACATGATGGATGTCATGGAATATTGCTTCTATCACAACCAAACATACTCCGTAAAACTGCTAGAAAAAGACTCGGGGACGGGATTAGTCTCCCCTGAGCCAGGAATAATAGAAATTAATTCCATTGATACTTAATTAATTATTTCATATTCAAATAAAGTCATTCAAATTATTAGAATTATTGATGTATATAATTGTTGTTAATGTTTATATAATTCAAAGCACTGACTTTCTATTTCACTATTTGTTGATATATCATTTCTTTTTAATAAACATCAACATTGAAAATGATTCTTATCTTATTTTACTATTTAGTGATTGAATAATAATTGATTTTAGTGAATAAATATCTTTTAAAACATTCATACTTTATATTACTACCAGAAGACAAACATTATATCATTCAACGATTAATAATCATAAAAACGTGAATATTCAACTAATTTAACTTCTATCGGTATTGTATTTCATTATTCTATTATATTTGTATGTTCTATATTTTTAATATACTCTTTTCTTCTTTCTCTTTTAAATATATTGATTATTTTACTTCATACATTATTACTTATTTATTCTTCTATCTTCAATTATTTTACATTCTTCATTATAATATGAAATTATACAATAGTATCAAATAATATTTTTGAATAATGACTAAATGAAATTAAAATGAATTTGTACATTTTTCATTGAAATATTTTAATTCCATTTCTAAATTAATAAATCATTAATATCATTAAAATACATAATTATTATTGAGTTAAATCTTTGTTTCATTCATTCTTTAATATTTTATTTTTGAACTTCTTTTATTTTTGGTATGATCTTTTCTTCATTTTTATTATTAATTTATCATTAAAAATAACCTATTTATGATTAATACGTTGATTATACTTTCTTCCATTTGAGAAATGAATGTTTTATTTTCTTCATTATGTTTTATTTCTTTTTTTAGTGTATTTTCAAACATTATAAATTAATTATTCTTCAATTAAATTATTTGGCTTTTATTTTGTTTTAATTAATTATTAAAACGATTTATTCTTTATATTGTTACTTTGAGAAGAAATAGTCACTAACACATTGTTTTTTTTCATCTTCAATATAAATACTCGTTTATAATTCTCTTCTTCTTGATAACACTAATCTATGTTCAGTTTATAATAATCATTATTTAAGATGCTTCCAATTTGTTTATTAATACTTCAATATTATTAAATATTAATAAGTAATACTTTGTCATATTAAATAACTAATCTGATACCATATTAAATATAATAAATAATACCCCTTTCATAATCATCATTTCATTAATATTCACTTATAATAGATATTAATAAACATCAACTAATTGGTATTAAATGAATGTTGTTTAACAAAATAAAATATCATAATCAAATGGTAATAGCTAATAACTCAATGTTGCATTTTTATTAATATTTGTGTGTGTGTTTATGACATACAATCTTCAAATCTAAGAATTAAAAAAGATAATAAAATAAAAACAAAAAACTCAAAAATATTAAAAAATGAAAATTGAAGAATTTGCACGTTTATTTGAAAAATATTATCCAAAACAATTAGCAGAAAATTGGGATAATACAGGAATACTTATTAATTCAGAAGAAGAATTTAATTTAGTGCTTGTTTGTATTGATATAACTGAATCAGTTATTGATGAAGCAATAAACAAAAAATGCAAAGCTATTCTTTCATATCACCCAACTTTATTTAAATCTTTTAAAAAACTTGTTCCTGAAACTCGTTCTCAAAAACTTGCTCTTCGATTGTTAAAAAATGGAATTAGTGTTTATTCACCACATTCTGCTTTAGACTCTGTTAATGGTGGAATTAATGATTGGCTTGCTTCTCTTGTTTTAAATGAACCTGTTTCATTAACATCAGTACCAAAGAATACTACAGCAATTGAACCTAGCCAAAGCGATATTTCAATTGGAAGTGGTAGATATGTTACATACGATACTCCAATTACTATTGATGAGTTTATTGATAGAATTAAAAATGGGTTAGATGTTCCTTTAAGGTATGCCATCCCTTCTACTAAAAAAGAAATTAAAACAGTTGCAATTTGTTGTGGAAGTGGATCTATGATGTTTGCTAATAAATGTGCTGATGCAGTTATAACTGGTGAAATGGGTCATCATGAAGTTCTTGAACACTTAGAATGGAATACTGCTGTTGTTTTATCTGAACATACAAATACTGAAAGAGGTTATTTAAAACATTGGATTCCTAGACTTTCAGAGTTGTTCCCATCAGTCACTTTTTACCAGTCAGAATGTGATGTTAGTCCATTAGTTTATATGGTCTAGTCTTGATAAAACAAAACACAGAAATAAATGAATTAATGAAATAAGTTTTAGTCTTAACACGCTTTTTCATTTATAATTATTGGTTGTTCTTCAACTTCATTTGTTTGAGTAGTGTCACCTTCTTTTTTCCAATATGACTCTAATCCTTTGTACAAATTATCAACTTTAACAGCACTTTTAATCATCCAATCACCTGTGATATACGCCGCAATAGTCTCAGAGGTATAAACACCAAAGCTTGTATTTATTGTTTTTCCTGGATGTTTAATATTAAATTTTAATGCTTTATCTACAACAACATGTTCTTTCCATTCTTGGAATGATGGTGCAGCTAACCACTCTTTTAAAAATTCCATTCCATATTCACTAGCAGGGGTTGAGGCTATTTCATTCCAAGAAACAATGGAAATTTTTTTAGCAAATGGAGTTATTGTATTTAATAGTCCTTGATAATACCATTCAATCATTTGTATTATACTAATAATATTTTTACGTTGATAAGCCTCTTTCATTCTTAGAATTAATAATTTATCCTCTCTAGTATCAGCAATTACACCCTGAATTTCTTTTTGACAAGAAACTTTATTTGTGTCAAGATTAATCACAACATCCCAGTCTTTTGTTAATTCACTGAATATTGGATTTGACGTTCCAATTATATAGCCTTCTGTTCCAATAATTTTGTCAATCAAACTTCCTGGGAAGTGTGGAATAATAGGATGATTTGTAGTGTCAAGTTGTAATGGAAATCCAAGAGCTTCATTTGATTCTCCATTTGGTTTAACAAATACACCTGGAATAGAACACATTAAGAATAGAATAGACAACGATGAATCTGATGGTTTTGATGAATAAACAACTGTTTTAAATGGAAGCAATAATAATTTCATTAGTTTAATAATAGAAGAAAACAAAATTTCTGGTGGTATAATTGGTTCTGGTTTCAATGGAGAGTTATTCATAGAAGTATAAATTGACGTTAATAATTGTGGACTTGGATGTGAAAACAATGGGTAGTATGCTTTTAACAATTGTGATAATGGATTAAAATAAAGGGAGTTTGTTAATAATACAAGACAGTGTGATGGATAAATCATTGATATTCCAAACATTCTTTGTACTGGAGAATTTGATGGAACAACAAAATAACATGGGTTACTTTCAGTGTCAGGGAATGCAAGAGTTGATAAAATATCAAACATATAAGGAGAGTCTTGAGGAAGAGGTGGATAGGCATAAATTTTATTTTCACCACGAGGGATATAGACTAAACTAGTAATAATTTGTGTCATTACAATAACTTTGATTATTTTTAAGATGAAAATTTTCAAGTTACTATCTCATCCCTTGATGACAGATAAAAAACGCATTTCTCAGAAATAAAATCACTAAATGAGGAATGTTCAAATAATAACAAAACATAATTTAATAACAAAAATTTAATAATTGTATTGTATTGATGGTGATGGACGTGGTGAATATCTAACAAATCTTAGTAAAGAATGTCCAACACAAAGACAGTAAGTTGAATTAGTCTTGTGGAGAGTCTTGTATTTAGAAGCAAGTCCTTTGTTCCAATAACCAAACCATTCATTAGAAGTACAAAATAACTCAACTCTGTTTAATATATCAATACATTTGACTGGAGAAGAAAGAAGAGAAGAGACAATAATAGCAGAATATTTTGGAGTAAAATTATCTTTTTCTAATAATTGTTGTATTTCTTTTTCATGAAGAATAGTGATACTAACTTCATTACTCTGAAAGAGTAAAATGAATTGGCTTAACTTAGTTAACTCCTCTTCACTTAGTGGAGCTTTAAAATGAGTAGTCATTCTTCTAAATTTAATGACGTTTTCAATACCTCGTTGGTTAACTTCTTTGACTTTATGAAGAGAGTTTAATTGAACAGTGTGTTTAACGGAAGTAGAAATAATGAGAGGATGATGTTCTTTTGACATGATGAGATAAATTATCTCAAGAAGATGAAAAAAAAAGAAAAAACAAAAGATTTTATTCTGGAAAAAGAGCGAAGAACTAACAAATCAATAAACTTCAACTCAATGGAAAAAACAATCAAAACAAAATTAAATCAAATTTTTCAGAAATTGGCACCTAATGCTGAAATTAATTTTGATAGTTATGAACCAATTTTGCTACCTTATTATGTTGATGCTCTCGTTACTTCAAACAAACAAAGTAGTGAAGGGCAAAAATTATTACTTAAAAAATATACAGTTGCTGGAGAAACTAAAAGTGGTTTTTTAGAAAATGAATTTATTTTTACTAATGCCTTTCCATCAGTTAGAACAAATCTTGGAGCACATAGTGGTAAATATGTATTTCAAGTTATTCTCCAAACTGATGGACTTTTTCAAATAGGTATTTTTGAGAATTCAACAGTATTTGACCGTACAAAAGGCATAGGAGATTTTCCTGATTCATATGCATATGATGGATATCGTAAATGTCTTTGGAATGAAAAACAAACACCATTTGGACCAAAATGGAAGAAAGGAGATGTTGTAAGTATTTGTGTTGACTTTGATCAACGAAGAATTAAAATATTATTAAATGATCAAGACCTTGGAATTGCATTTGAGTCATTTGGAACAGAGCCAATGAATAACTATTATTTTGGAGTTACTGCTTCTACAGGAGAAAAATGTATTATTAATTATGGAGAATATCCAATGTTATATAAACAACAAATAGGAGATTATTCTCCTGTATGTCAACAACCAATTCAGTCCAGTTATAAAGAATGTGAAATACTTGGAAAAGCTATTATTGAATGTCTTAATGATATTTCTAATGGATCTGTTTTAATATTAAATGCACTATTTGCAAGATATATTCCATTAATTGTAAATAGTAAAGTTTTATGTATTGAATATTTCTTACCATTATTAACTGAATGCACTCGATCAAATTCATTAGGAAGATTAGGTTCATTATTAAAACATATGGTCCATCCTACTGACTTAGAAATTATTGTTAAAACTTTAATGGAATGGTATTATATTATATCTACACATTATCAATTTAAAGATGATATAGTCATATCACTTACTCAAATACTTCTTGATATTATAAGTGAAATGATGGCAGTAGCATGTGGAGATCCTGATAAATTATATCAATTTATTGATATAATTCTATCTAAATCAACAACAGTAAGTAAATTTGATTATAAAAAAATGATTCAAGGAATTGATCTTTCACAACCACCAGAAAGATTAATGAATGATTTGGATTTAAAATATAAACAACAACTTGAACTTGATAAAAAGTTATTAAAAGCCCTTGAAACAAATCAATTATTAGATGACTTTGTAAACAATTATTCTGTGAGACATGATATAAATAAAGATATTAATAGTAATGAAGATGGAATGGAATTAACTATGAGAATAACGTATGCATTATTTTCTATGATATTGGATGAAACAAATCATTTTCAATTTAATAATGAATTTCTCATTAATACACCAAAAGAATATCCTGACTTTGATAGATTAGGAGGTACAATTAGTTATATTCAAAAAACATTTCCATTAGAAAAAAATAATGAAAGTTTTGAAACTAATAAACATATGCATCGTGCTATTCTTTTCTTTTATAATAATACCCTTCCATATTTCTTTAAAATGGAATTAGTATGTAGAAGAAATATTAGAATTATAAGTACATTAGAAAATAGTGTTGATTGGCTTAATTATTTATGGGAAGCTTCATTATTTATAATTCCTTGTAGATATCAAATTCAATTAGAAATATTTAAACAAATTGTTAATGCATTAGTCAGTACTAAAGGATTATTATATGTTCATGAACCATATATTTCTTCCATTATTTCATTATGTAAAAATTTACGTCAAAATATTTTATTTAATTATCAAAAAATTCTTATAAATGAAAACAAACAATTATTTGGTGATTTTATTAATACATTAATATCATTTTTAGGAAATACTTTCATTGTTAAACCAGGACTAAAAACAACAATGTTTATGTCTGTTACTTATACAATGGCTAAAAGAATTGAATTTATTGACTGTGTTTCATTAGAAAATAAAAGAATTTTATTCAATTTTGCATTTGAATCTTTAACAAGTGATGAAGAAGAAAGATTTAGAAGAGCAATTACTTTTATTAGAATAGGAATGCCAATTCCTTTTTATGTATTAAAAAAGAATATTGCAGCTTATCCAAGATATCGTAAAGTATTTAGTAATTTATTACAAGAATATTTTAGTGATGATAAAACAATAATGAATACTCATAATATTGTTTTTGATTATGTATCAAAGAGTTTAGATAAGATATTACTATTATTAGATAAAGAACGTCTCAGTGGACAAGAAGAAAAAATGTTTGAATCATTGTCTAGTAGTTTAATCGATGGAACAGATTTAATGGATGGATTATCATATCTCTTTGGTAAAATATATATAGACCATACACTTGCTACTAAATTTTTACAATACTTATCGTTTGTGTTATATCAATGTTCTGTAAGAAATTCTATTACAACAAGAAGAGGAAAACAAATTTATAGTATATTTTGTTCATTAAGAATATTATTATTAGATGTTCTTACACAAATTTTAAAAAGTATTCCAGAAGAAAAAAGACTTGAATGGTTATTACAAGATGGTATAATAACATTAGAAATTAATAAAGGGTTAGAAGGAATTGATTTATCTTCTTCATCAATACTTTCATTTGAAATAGAATATCCAACAACAATTTGGGATAGATGGAGACCAACTACATTTACTGATGACATTATCACTAATTTAAAAGTAGAAGAAAAACATGCATTAGAAGGAATTGATAATACTCTTAAATTCTTAAAAAATTCATTAAACGAATTAAATAAAAAACATATAAAAAAAATAGTTATTACACCAACATTCCAAGGAAGAGCATCTAATAATTCATTTGAAATGGAAGTAGAAGAAAATGAAGATCAATTATGCTTTATTTGTTGTAGTAATCCAGCTGATACAATTATGCTTCCATGTAAACATAGTGCATGTAGAAGTTGTATTGAACGACATATGGAACATCATAATGAATGTTTCTTCTGTAAAACAAAAATAGAAGGATTAAAGAAAAGAAGTGAAATGGGAATGGAAAATGAAAGTGCAACAAAGAATTAAGTTAGTAATTCTAATTTTTTTTTAAAACGTTTTTGTTTTTTATTCCCATTGAATAGCAGCAAAATTTCTAATTTGGAAAGTCTTTTGATTACCAGCAAATAAACGTTCTCCTTTATAAGTAGTGTCGTGATACATAGATGCAAATCTAATATGTTGTTTACTTGTAGTGTTATTACATATTACAAAAGCATAGTTTTCACAAACTTCTGTTATTTCATCATCACCTTTAATCATAATAATATTATGATTATCAACTCTTGGTTGAATCATTGTAGGTGGTACAAGGTGTGGATTTCTAAGTGTAAATATAAAATGTTTACTATCTTCATTAATCCAAGTATTTTGTTTATCTGGCATTTTACTAAAATAACCACCAAAAAGCATATTATTGTTTGTTTCACATAAAAGCATAATATGTTCTAATCCTTTAACTTTATTAAAGAATTCTTTAGCTGTAAATAAATCTTTATCATTAAAGTATATCACTTTAAAGTCATTCATTCCAGTCCATTCTTTTAATTTTTCAAGATGTTTTGGTTGTAATGAAAGTCTATTAATTAAATGTTCTTTTCTTCCATCTTCTCCTTTATTAATCTCTTTCTTTTCTTCTTTCTTTTCTTCTTTCTTTTCTTCTTTCTTTTCTTCTTTTATTGATTCATTAGCTTTAGGAACATTTGAAACAACAGCACTTGCTGCAGATGTCATTGTTTGAATTTCATTCTTTTCACTAACAAAATTGACAGTACCAAAATTGTTAAAAGTTTCTATTTTGATAGTTTTAATTGAGGTATCACTCATTCTTAAACAAATCTTTTTTCTTTTACAGTTCTTTTTTAAAAATAAATTTTTTTTTGTTTTGTAAAAACAAAAAAAAAATTTAAAAGGAAAAATAATAACAACAAATAACTTAATCAATAAACAATTTGTTGTTTTGTCTCACTTCAGGAGTTAATAAAATACCGTCTAATAATAGTGGATTTATATTTGACAAATTTGTTGTTCTAGGATAACAAAATAAAATAATATTATGAAAATCAAACGATGATTGAATATTTTCAGTTACTTCATGAACATGAGGTTTAGGAGGAATTGTTACTATTTGGTTTAAAATAACAGAATTTATACTTTCTGTTATTGGTTCAAAAAATGAATTTGATGGAAAGATAACACATAAAGTCCATAGAATTAATAAGAGTCTAAGTAATAATTGAGAAATGATAAATATTGGTAATGTTTTATGAATTGCACAAAGAATAGCAATATTATCGAGGAATAAAAATATCCAAAATGTTATTAAACCACCAATTAATAAACGAGAAATTAATATTTTACGTTTCAAATGTGAATAATTATTATTGTTATTTGTTAAAATATGAAATTGAATTACTTTAATATTTAATGAAAGAGTTGATATTACAGTAGGAATAATAAAGAAAAATGCTATAGTCAAAGCTAATAAAATAAAAGAGTAATTAATAAAACAATGAAGTAATAAACAAATAGAAAATAATAATATGCCAATAATTAATGTTTTACAATGATTAAGTGGAATAAACTTATAAATTATTAACCAACCTTTTGTTATAAAAGTAATAAGAAGAGTTAATAAAATATCACTGAATGATTCAAATAATTTACAAATAGTCATATATTGATATTTAGGAATTCCTGTCATATTATAATGAATATAATAATAAATATGAAGTCCTTCTTTAATACATAACATTAACATAATACCTACTATTATAAAATGAATAAATGATGTATTATTATGATATACTAAATAAATAATAATTGCTATTATTATTGTTATAATCCAAACAATTTCTATTGAACAACTTGCAATATAATTCTTTAATTCATTTATTGATAATTCAGACAATCCATTTCTTAAATGTAATGTATAATTTAATTCAATATTTCTACTTTTTCCACAATGAAGAATATAAATTCCATATTCATCTGGAATAGTAATATTAATATTTAATATAGTATTTCCTTTAGCCAAATCATATAAATCAAAACTTTGACATTCTTGTTGCATCTTTTCACAACTCGTCATTTCTCCATTACTTGGAATTTGACACAATGTAATAGTTGTTTGAATTAATTCTTTCCTTCTACTGTTATATAAATTAAAAGATAAACTACCATTTGTACCAAACTGAAACCTTGTAAGTTCATTAATTTTATTTGGACAGTCTTGTCTTCTCTGAATAATTAAAGAAAATGATGAAATAATAAAGAGGTTTAATAACCAAACAAACATGACAGTTTTATTTTAAAGATTTTTCTGTGATGAATAATTAACTATCTGTTGATTATTTTTATTATTTTTCTTAAAAAAAAAAACTAAAAGAAAAAAATATTTTATTAAAAAAAAAGTGGTAATGCTCGTTAGGAAAAAAGTAACTCAAAAGAATTGGAACCTTTATATTCGTTGTGAAGTTGTTGCTTTATTAGATGATGAAAAAAATCTTAAAAGATATAAAGTTGAAGAACAACAAGAAAAAAAACAATTTATATTATATTTGGATGATTTATGGTATGAAACTTCACTTAAAGTAGGTGATTTTATTCATCTCATTTTTTTAGAAGAAAGAACAAAAAATTCTCTTCCAAACCCTTTTATTCTTAATAACAGAACACCTATACTTCTTATTCAAAATCCTGATTATTTAATTAATACTACTAGCACTGTAAGTAGCACTTGGTGTAATAGACAAACAGTTATTAAAAATTATCTTTTTCTTGATGATTATTATGAAGCAACAACTTTAGGAACAATAATTCATGGAACAATTCAACATATTCTCATTACTAATCCACCTGAATTTAATAAAACAATATTTAAATCAATGATAGAAGAATTAAGTGAAGAGTTATTAACAAAAGTTTATGTATTAGGAATTACAAGAAAAGAATTTATTGATCATGCTATGGAATTTTATGATACTGTGAATAACTGGTATCAATGTTGGAAAACAAAAACTATTAAAACAAATCTTAACCGTGAAATACACTTCTCAGAATTTATTGCTTCTGAACCTCAAATTCAATCTCAAATTTTTGGTTTTAAAGGTGCAATTGATATTTTGTTGAATGACTCGGAAGGTGAAATTATTGTTGAAATGAAAACAGGAAAACAAAAAGAAGAAAACTTCGGACAAATCGCTTATTATTTCCTTCTTCTTAGTGGATTCCTTCAAAAACCTCACCACCAATTTAGAGGATTATTAAACTATGTTCATCGTCAAAACAATAACTTTGTTCAAGTTGTTCCAACAGTTCCACAATTAGTTGCTATTACTCAATTAAGAAATTCACTTGCAGTATATTCAAAGAATATGACAATACCAAATGAGGATGAATGTATAAGAAGAGAGATTTCATGTAAATATTGCCAAATAACAGAACATTGTGGTTTAATTTGTGAAAATGATGGAATAAATTATAATAAAAGTGCCATTCAACATCTTAATTCATTAGAAAAAGCATTTTACTTTAAATATTTAAATGATGTTCGTTTAGAAATGAAACGAATTGAAACAGAAAATCAAAAGAGATGGTTATTTCCAAATGAAGTTAAGTCAATTGGAAGAAGAATGAAATTGATAAAAAGTGAATGTACAATGAAATTTCCTGATTATTACATTTATACATTTGAAGGAGAATGTGTTTATGATGAGTCACTTATCTGTGTTTCAACAGAAGATGGAAAAATAAATATAATTAAAGGTTATATGTTACCATTTGAAGATAATGATATTATTAGTGAAGAAAAAATCACAGATTGTGATCAACAGAATACTAATCAAAGTACAATCTTTGAAGAACAAGGAATTGAACAACTTCAAGAAATTCGATTAAAAAGAGTTAAAATAAAAACACCTCAAAGAATTATTGTTTCTACTTTATCTTTATTTAAACTAGATAAATTTTCTGGAACAAATGCATTACAAGTTATTATGACAACAGTTGGTAAATTAATGAGAAATGATGATGATATGAAACGAATTCGAGATTTTGTTATTAATTCTAAACCATGCCCTGTAATTAATTTTAATTTAGACTTAAGTCAAACTCAAAATATTGATGATATTCATAGTGAAGAAGAAAATAATGGTGATGATGATCTTGATTGGATTCTTGATAAATTAAATATTTCAGAACAAACTTTAATTCAAAAACAAATAAGTGAAAAAGATGACTTCTTATTAAATTCCCTTTCTTCTTCACAAGAAATTACACCAATAACTGGATTATCTTCAAATATGATTCTTTCAACAATTGAAACATTCTGTTCAAAAACACAACAAAGAGTATTTGTTACTGCTTCAAATCAAACAGTATTAGATAAATTATATGATGTTTTACCTAAAGAAAAAACACTAAGACTCTCTACAATAAATGATTTACTTCATATAAACCCTGTTATAGAAACTGTTATTAATGAACATCCAATAGTTCTTGGGTCATTTCGTGAGTCTTCAAAGAAAATAACTCAAGCCATGTCATTTGATATTGCTATAATTGCAGATGCAATCAATGTTAATGTTGTACAGTCATTAAATGTATTTTATTTAACAAAAACTGTATGGTTATTTGAAGGAGAAAAAATATCTCATTTAAATGAAACCTCACAAATAGAAAATCAGAGTATTTTTTCATTGATGAGTAGAACAAGTCAATATTCAATGTCAACATTATTAGATAAAGAATATCAACTAAAACAAATAATAGACATAGAAGATTTAGGAGATATTGATGACTTTCTTTAATCAAAATTTTTTTATTTCAATTTATGACTAATTTTAACTCATAAAAAATACTTGAAAATCACTTAAAGAAAAAAGTAAAATACTATAAAGAAATTATAAAATAATACTTCTTTATTATTAAAACTCAACTTCATTTTTTCAAAAATAACTCTTTCAAACAAATAAAACTAATAAAAATTATTCTTATTGTGTCATTATGCCTAAATTCCTTGATTATTTCAAGAACCATGGTTCTCATAAATTTTCATTCCAAATTATGACAGTTATCTCAGTATTCTGTTTTATACTCTCTCTTATTGCATTTATATATCAATTTGTATTCTTTGGAGAGTCAGATATAGATAAGGGACTTTATGTTTGTTATTCTTTTTTTTACTTTCTTCTCTTTTTATTTCTTTATAATAATCAATTTTAGATGAATTTAACTTCATCACCAATGAATGGTACTTGTTCTTCTGAACCATTTGATTCAAATACTCCACTTGATTTTACATATAAAACAGAACAAGGAGAATATAGTTTTACTTGTATGTATCCATTATTTTTCCAAGTTATTGCACATCTTGCAGTAATCTTTTTAGTTACAACTCTTTCAGTAGGGTCATATGTTTTTGGTTTAATACTTGTTCAACAAAAAGGATTAATTTTTGATATTGGATATGGTATTGCATCAATTGGAATGGCAATTGTTGGTGTTACAGAAGTTTGTTTAGCAATTAGTTCAAATAATTTTTGTAAAAATGACTTGTTAAGTCAAGTTGATTTTTCATTAAGTCAAATACAACCTACAGGAATTACCTGTCATTTCCAACATTATATCGCATTTGGAATATATCAGGTAATTATTGGTGTTATTACATTCCTCCATTCTATTTCAGTTGGATATTTCTATATGCGTTATCGTAAACAAAAAGTTGAAGAAAGAAAACAAAATGCTAAACCATATGAAGACCTTAAATTTGATGATTATGGTAAAGTTGTTAGTAAAAACTTTGATGAAGATGGAAGCCAACCAATTGAACTTACTCAACCACTTGGTTCTCATGTAGGTACTGAAGAAACACCTGCAAATGATTCTAGAACAGAACATGCTATTTTAGCTGATTAACTCAATTATTGGTATTATTGATAATATTTTCTCTTTTATTTATAAAAAACGTTTAAAATTGAAAAGAAAAAAAATATTTTATTCTTTCATTTCTTCTCTAATTTGGAAATGACAGCTTCAAGACGTGCAAAAACATTATCAACTTGTTCATTTTTAATTGGTTCACTTGAACTAATTCCACAATTCTCTAATTTTGAAACAATTCCTTCCATTTTATCAAGAGTCTTTAAAATACTATCAATTTGATTCTTAATTTCAGGTGAAAAAGTAATTTCTTTCTTTACTTCAACTGGTTTTGTTTCTTCTTTCTTTTCTTCAACTGGTTTTGGTTTTTCGGTTTTCTTTTCAACATGTTTTTGTTCAACGTGATGTTCTTCATCTTTCTTTTCCCAATCAGCACTATGTTTACTATAACCAAAACCTTCATCATAATTACCTTTTTCTCTGAACATTTGTTGGAAATGAACTTTACAATAATAAACTCCATGATTCTTTGCAAAATTAGCACCATTTAAAATTTTCTTACAGACACTACATCTAAAACAATTCTTATGCATAGTAATACCTTCTATTTTAATGGCTTCCATTTGATAAGCCTTTTTACCACATACAGGACAAGTTGACATCTTTATTTTGTTATTGAGATTTTCTCCTTTTTTTTTTAAGTTTATCTCGACGTTAAAATTGAACTATTTTTATTTCTTTTTGAATAGATTAATAAAATATAGTTTACTTTATTATTGTTTATTATTTATTTGAAAAAATCTTTTCTTTTTTTTTTTCAAAGAAAAGAAGATTATGAAAATAAAATTCTAATGAAAAGACACAATAATAAATAATCATTGATATAATTCAGAACAAAACAATAAATATTGGAGAAGTACTCCATTTATTTTTAAAGAAGGAGAGAAGCAAATTAATAAATTTTTTTCTGTCATTTTGTTCATTTGTGAAAGTTCAAGAATTTTTATCATTAATTCATTTAATAACTAACTTAATGAATATTTAATATGACAAAGAATGTATTGTCAAAAACAAACTGATAAAATAGTAAACACAGGAAGAGAAAGACAATGAACCTCTTCTTTTAATATTTGAATTGTTTCACTTCGAGACGTATTTTGAATTCTTTCAACCATTTTATGCATATTTGTTTGAGGTATTAATCCATGTGGTAATGAACGAAAGAAGTATTTTAGTAAATTAGAAATTGAATGAATTGAATATTTTGGAAAGATAATTTCTTCTCCTTTATTTACTAATTCTCTTATTTCTTCCATTTCAGATGAATCACCTGATAATCTAAAAAGTCCTTCTGTTTCTGTAATCATTGCTAAATATTTAATTGATTTATAAACAAAATCAGGAACTTGTAATCTTTTTGGGTCATAAAAATGAGCTAACATTATAATTTGAATCGAATTTCCAAATAAAGGTAAATATGTTATTTGTAATACACTTGAATTAGACTTCAATTGGTTTGTTTCAATTAAAGATTGAAATGAAACATTACATTGTTTTATTAATATTCGTGTTGCAACCCTGAGGAAGAATTTATTCTTATTAATCTATTATAATTATTATTATATTGTTTATTTTTATTTAATTAAATAATAACTAAGATACAAACAAGACATAATACTGGAACTCCATACACTCCTGTTAACATTATTGTATCATCGTTTTCTGTTGATTGAATTGATGAAATAATAGGAATAACAAAATCTACTACCCCTTTATTATTTTTGTCATAAAAAATAAAATGTCCATTAAAAATTGAAACACAATATTCTTTATCTTCATCATGCCATTTCATGTTTTTATTATCATATGATAAATTCATACATTCACATAAAATAGGTTCTTTCTCTTTTCTTTTATTGAAGAGTAATTCTAATTGTTTTGTGATTTTGTGGTTAGAAGAAATCATGGTGTTTCTGTCTGTAATTCTCTAATTTTATCTATTCTTCTTTTTTTTTAGTTTTTCTGTAATTCCTTCATTTTGTTTTTCTAAATAACAGTTTTCGAATTTTTTTTATTATAATGGATTTTGAAGTGATGATGAAAAAAAAATATTATCTCGTTAATGATTTAACAAATCATTCCTTAACTTATGATTATATTTAGAAGGGAAAAACAAAACCAACTTACATGTTTTGGTGAAATAAAAATAATGATTCTTCATAATTAATATGAAAAGGATTGAGATTTCTTGTGCATCTTCTCAAGTAGGAACATTCTTCCAATACATAATTTAAAAATAATTCATTTTCAGGTTGAAGATTTAATGAAATAGTAAAAAAATAGTTTCTTTTTAGTATTCTCTAATAAAAGAACAAAAATTGAATTTATTCATCTAAAGAAGTTAATGAGTAGCCTATTTGTTTCTGTTACCATCACCCCATGTGCTCCAATGGCTCGTGTTGAAGGGGTTATTAAAAAAATGACCATTGGATATTCAAATACTATGCAACATTGTCATAAAACAAACAATCAAATATTAACACAACCAAGTATACCAATGAGTAATTATGGTCTTGATAATGAAACAGGAGATTTGATTATTAGGACAGATGATATTATTGGGTCAGCAACTTCAATGGAAGGAATCCAGTTTTCTATGGATCAAAAATCATTAACACGATATAGAGTTATCCAATTACTTGGTCAAGGAACATTTGGTCAAGTTGTTAAATGTATTGATTTAAGTACAAACAAGTATGTAGCTATTAAGGTTTTAAAAAATAAACCAGCGTATTTTAAACAGTCGTTGATTGAAGTAACAGTTCTTCATTTCGTTTGTAACTTTTTGTCTCTATTTTTAATTATACGAAGTTAGAATTTGAAAATTATAAAACGAGAAATATTCATTATATAGTTAAATGATTATTATGATAAATCTCCACATAGTAGAATATTAAAAATGTTGGATTATTTTATGTATTATGGTCATATTTGTATAGTCACTGAAATGCTTGGGTTTGTCTCATTCTTTTTTTATATTTCAAATCACAATAAATTCTTTCATTTGTTTTGGTTTCTATTCATACCAAAGTGATGATAAGATATGATGAAATAAAAAACTGATAAGAGATAGCCTTGATTTATATGAGTTGATGAGAAGAAATAGAAATCATGGCTTTTCTATCCAGACAATTCGTAAGTTTGTTCAACAAATTTTGAGAGCATTACTTGTATTGTCTAAAGGTAATATTGTTCATTGTGACATTAAGCCTGAAAATGTTTTATTAGTTGGACAAACATCAAAAGTTAAACTGATAGATTTTGGATCTGCTTGTTTTGAAAATTATACATTATATTCTTACATCCAATCTAGACATTATAGAGCACCTGAAATTGTATTAGGACTTCCATATTCATGTGCAATTGATATGTGGTCAGTTGGATGTATGACAGCAGAGTTTTTCTTAGGTTATCCTCTTTTTGGAGCAACAAGTGAATATAACTTACTATTTAAAATGATTGAAATGCTTGGAACACCACCAATAGAAATGCTTGAAAGAGGAACTAAAACACATAAATTCTTTTATAATGAAGAAGGGACATATTTATTCAAAGAACAATTTGAGTATGAATATGAAAATAATTGTAAAATCCCACCAAACAAAAGTTATTTCAAGTATAAAACATTAAAAGAATTAATTTCATTAAATCAAATGAGGGTTTCAAACGCTGAACCAGTATCAGCAGATAATGTTAGAGATTCTCTTTATGATTTCTTAAAACGGTGTTTGGCATATGATCCTAAAGAACGATTAACACCTGACCAAGCACTTAATCATCCATTTATTACAGATAGACCACTTGAAGAATATATTCTACCACCTCGACTATATCCATATGTAGAATATGGTAAAACTGTTACTTTAGAACAAGATGAATTTATTAACATTATGTTAAAGGAAATTCCAGAGTTAAGATACATCCGTGGATGTTATAATACTCAACAATACTTTAAAATATATAAGACAGCTCTTGATCATGGACATGTAGTGAATATATTAGCTGATTCCCCATTACGTGGAACAATTACACCACCTTCACTTTCATCAGTCTTTATTCCACTTCCAGATCCTAGTCTGGACTATGTCCATCGGCAACAAGCATTACCAAGACATTTTCTTGCAACTTCTGTTAAAGTTGATCAACCAACATCACGTTTTCAAACACCAGTTAAAACAGAGAGTAAAGAAGAGACTGGAACTGGGTTACTAAAGTCTAATCCAAGAAGAATTGTACCAATATTACACGATGACAAAAAGAAAGGTGTTTCATTACCTACGTCATTAGAATCATCACCTGGAAAAACAACAAGTTGTGTGTCTAAACTACATAAATTAATGAAAATGGAAGAAAAGATAGAGAAAGAACGAGAAAAACAACTTGAAAAGGAAAGAAAGAAAGAGGAAAAACAAAGAAAAAAAGAAGAAAAGAAAGCAGGTAAAGCACATAGTCGAGGAAGTAGTAAAGAACAATCTATTGAAAGGACAGAAGAAAAACCAAAAAATTTAATCACATCAACAAAAATTACAAGAAATTCTAGTAATATAAATTTAACAGGAAGTTTTAAAGATATTTATTCAATTGGAAATGTTCATGATGGAACAATTAATGAAGTTACATTAGCAGTACCAAAAAGATCTGACTCTATGGGATCTATTAAAAAGAAAAAATGGGGATTTTCTTTCTTCCATAGGGAAAAGAAAGACAAAAAAGATTCAGCAAGCCAACAAGACTCTTTCAATTCACATGACTCTGAAATGTAAAAAAAAATTAAATTTCATTTGTATTCTTTCATTTTCAATTTATTTTTATTAATAATTTAGAATAAGCAAAAAATATATTCAAAATTTTTGTAATAAAAATAACAAAAAAATACCAATTTTTTTCAACTTTAAATTAAAAAAACCAACCCAATTCAACTCAAAAAGTTAGAGAATTTTAAAATTTGCTTTTTTATTTGAAACTAGTCATAACTGGTTCACCTGGAATAAGCTTTTCATCTGGAGTCTTAATACTTGTAACAGTTACTTTTTCAAGTTTTAAGACATTTTTAATGTAGGTAATTTGTGATTCAAGGAATGACACTTCGTTGAATTGAAGAGCAAGATCAAGAGCTTTTAATCCACTCTTTTTAACATTTTCAACAAGCATCATAGCAAATGACATAGCTTTCTTAGAATTCTTTTTAATTAATGCATTAAGACATAAACGAGAAGCAAGCTCTTTTTGTGGTGGGAAAGTTGGAACATCATCAACTATAGTGACAATTTCCTTTAATACTTTAGCACACTCTAATTGCCAATCTGGAGTAATTGTACCAACCATAATTTCAGCTTCTTTTGGTGGTTCATTAACAATAGCCTTTTGTCCTTTCTTTGGTTTTGGATGGCAATAAGACTCAACACTAGATCTGAATTTATAGACAATTTTAGCAAGATATTCTGCTTCATTAAGAATTTGTACGTTTGCTTCTGGAACTTCTGGGAATCTCTCATTCCATAAGAATGTTTTATTACCTAAAAGGTCTCTCCAAACATAATCACAAAAATGTGGAGCAATTGGATAAAGTAACTTGATTTGAATTTCAATATATTTCTTAAGTAATTGAGCATTCATTGGAATTCCAACTGTTTCACAATAAGCAATATAACTATCACGTGCAAGAGTTAATTCATAAAATCCTTTATGAAGAGCTTCACGGAATAACATTTTAAGATATGCAGCATCAGTAGCATGAACACTTGCATTAATTTGAGCTTCAAAAGTCTTATCAGCAAATGTATTTGGTTCATCATTACAACATTTGTTGTCTTTAATTAATTGAAGTGTTTCTTTAATCCATTGAAGTAAGGTATGAAGTCTCAACAATCCATTATCTGCAGTTTCTTTTGCAAAATTAGCATCTTCTACACCATCTCCAGCATCAGCAAGACCAATTCTCATTCCATCTGAAGTATATAATTCAATACCATCGGTAAGAGATAAGAAATTACCAGTAGACTTAGCCATCTTTTCATTATTAATCAATAAATGTCCATTGGCTCTCATTCCTTTTGGGAATTTGTCTTCGCCAAACATAGCTGTGTGTGTATAAAGACAGAACAAACAATGATTTGTTAAAAGATCTTTACCTGTTACTCTAACATCAAATGGATACCAATATTCAAACTCTTGTTTCATTTTAGTTAAAGTCTCTTTTGGAATAGTTGTATTTTCTGGCATTTCTTTTTCAGCAAACAAATAATCCCAAACTTCTGGTGTCATTTGTTCTGGTGCGATATGTCCAATTCCTTGTTCTGATCCATTTAAATTACCTTGAAGATAATGTGCGATAGTATAATAAGCCATATAAATGGTAGAATCAGAAAGTGATTCAATAAGATATCTTTTATCCCATGGAATTAATGTTCCAAGTCCAAAGTTTCTACTACAAGCCCATTGATTCATCCAATTTAATCCATGTTTTAAAGTTTCACGAGTAGAATTATGATATGTTTCCATTTTTTCTACTCTCTTAAGTGTTTCATTTTTCCATTCTTCTTCTCCATATGTAATATACCATTGATCACACAATGATACAACACATTCATCTCCACTTCGAGATATTACTGTTGATGTTGGTTCTGAATATACGAAAGCTTCTCCATTTTCAATCATTTCTGCTTTAATTGGGACTTTAGCGTCTTTAATTTTTTGTCCATTATATTTACCAACAGTCAAAACACCATTATAAAATCCTTGTGTATATACTTTTTCTTTGGCTTGATCAAGAAGTTTTCTATCATTTGGTGATTTAATTTTAAGTTCATGACAAGCAGTCTCAGCAGCTCTTCTTCCCATTTCTGGAATCTCACAAATTTCAATAAGTTCAAATGGCATAACCCATTCATCAGCAACTCCCATTTTCTTTCTATACTCTGGTTTATTTTTAAGTGTATAAACATTCATATAATCATCTGGAGAATCAGATGGAACAGAAGTTACAATACCAGTTCCTTTATCTTCTAAAATAGTGGTCATTGGAAGTGTATAAATCTTATCATATGATGTTAATGGTGCTTTAAGAGCAGTTCCTAATAATTCACTTCCTTTAACACTACCAATTGAAACTGCTTTATAATCTACAGGTGCTTCTTTAAGAAGTTCTTGATAAACTAAATTATTTCCACATCTTTGGGTACAAACTACAATTTCTCCATTTTTCATTTCAAATAATTTATAATTAATATCTGGATGAATCCAACAATTTGTTTGTCCATACATAGTTTCTGGTCTCAATGTTCCAGCAATTAAGAAAACTGATTTTCCTTCTTTCATTAATTTATTGATTAACTCACTTTTACTTTCAATTACTTTCATTTTGATAGCAACATATTCTTGAGGAATAACTCCTTCTCCACTTGCACGGTCATGGTCAGCACATGGTTGTCCATCAAGTGGTGAATAAATAGTATATCTTTTACCAAATTGAATTTTACCCATTTCTTTCAATTTAAGGAATTGCCATCTAATAAAACTATCAAAATATGGGTTATGATCAGTAGTAATAAATGATCTTCTCCAATCAACTGCAACACCCATAAGCTTAAGATCTTCAACTCCTAATGGTGGGAAATATTGAAGCCAATGAAGTGGATCAACAAATTTAGGAATTTCTGACTCTGGAATACCATTTGATTTAAGAATATCCCATTGATGTTTACCTCCTTTTTGTTTAGTTTTAGCTTTAGCAGACCTATGTACGTCAAGTGTTTCTACATTTACTTTTTGTGTTTCAACTGGTTTAGATTCTTGTTCAACTGGGAATACTGGTGGACATCCATACTTTTCTATTTCTGTTTTAAGTTTATCAGCACATGCTTTAATAGGCATACCAGTACAATGAAATCCAAATGGAAACATTACTGCTTCTCTTTTTAATTTATGATAACGTGCTGCAAATTCTGCTTTAGTAACTGTAAATGTATGTCCTAAATGAAGTCTACCATTCATATATGGGAATGGGAATGTAACCATATATTTCTTTTGATTTGGATCAATAGGTCCTGTTTCATATAAATGGGCATCATTCCATTGTTTGTTTAATTCAGTTTCAATTGCAGCAAGCTCATCTCTTTTAGCAAATGACTTTGGTTTTTCTTGTTTTTGTTGTGTATGAGTGTCAGCAGACATAGATATAATTGAACTTAGACACTCAAGGTTTAAATAAACCCTAATTTTATTTTATATAGAAAAAGAAAGAAAAGATGATGGTATGTGTTTGTTTATTCTTCTTCTTTGAAATATCATCATTTTAAAAGAATTTAACCTTGAAACTCTTCTATGAATAATTTGAGTAATTTAGAAACGAGGAACAGATGCTCTCCCATTGTTTATAAGAATCAAAATTATATCAGAAAATCCACCAAAAATTGTTGCCCAAAGAGAGTAAAATGGAATAATTTCTGTTGACAGTTGTTTTGTTTTAAAGTAATTAAAAATTGCTCCTACTATAACACCAATAACTATGACTGCAAACAAATATCGTAATATAACTAAAAATTTATTTGTTACAACTGTCTTTGGATCAAATTTACACATTGCTGGTGTAATAACATCAAAATTGATTGTACAATGGTCTGGTTGTGTTACGACTGCAGCTTGAGTTTGTCCACACCTTGTAACAACAGTAGTTTTAAAATTTTCTTTACCACAAGACTCTCCCGTATATTGGTATGTAATTGTTTCTAAAGGATAAGTAATAAATTTGTTTTAAACTCTACTACTAATTCTTCAAACTCTTTAATACATCCGTTGAAATTTTTTGTGTTTCAACATTGGCAATGTAATAATAAACATTCTCAATTTTTGCTACACCATTAATTCCATTATCAAATTCTGGTAGTGATGAACATATTTGTACAACATATTGATTATCTCCAGATGATGCTGTTACTTTTGAATATGGGATATAAGAGTAAATGCTATTTCCGTCGATTGAACATTTGGGAATTTTAACAGCACAAACAATGCTTACAAATAATAAGAACAACATACTAAAAATATTAATATTTTTTAGATCTTTTTTATTTTTAATTTCTTTTTAATAAAATTTAATTAATTAAGTATTAATAGAATTAATTTCTATTATTCCTTCATTGGATGAGACTAATCCCATCTATGAGTCTTTTTCTAGTATTTCTACTCACTATATTTTGTTGTGATAGAAGTGGTATTCAATGAATCCATCATGTCTTTTATTTCAATGGTTTTTTACTTCTTTCTCGATGTCAATCTCAATTTTTAATTCTTTAATTAATCTGATACTTTCTTTATTCACTAGTCCATTTATTGAAATTACTACTGGAATTATTCTGACATCTTTTATTTTCTTTATTTTCATTAGAATATTCTTTAATTCCTTATACATATTTCTTTTCTTCCAATATGCTCCATTAATATTGTGATCAGCCACAATAGTCATATCAAATATTAGACTAGTTTGATTCTTTTTATCTATTATATATATATGTCTGGTATTTTGTGATATTGTCATTCACTTTTAGGCATTATTTGTTTGTTCCATATCATTGTGATGTCTTTATATTGGAATACTGTTTCATATGGGGATTTTTATATTGAATATTTCCTGTGTATTTTCTTATTAATCAATATTATAATGCCAATATTGTCATGTTTTTCTATTTGTGGTTTTTTATGACCAATACAAGATACATTTTCAAAAAAAAATAAAAAAAAACAAATATTAGATATATCCACAATTGTATATTATGAATATTGAGAAGTGTTTATTTCACTTTCTTCATTATGCTCTATTGGTGTAATAGAGTTCATTTCTAGCATGCTCGCATTAGATTGTTCTTCTTCTATTGTGCTGTCAGAATTGAATGTGTAAAACATTAAGTCTTTCATACTTTTTTATAATTATTGTTCGTAGGATTTTGGAAAAGTCTAATTTTAATTTCAGTGATTTTAATCTTCTTACTGACTCTTTGTGAATTAATCCATTTATTGATAATATAACAGGTATTATTTCTACTTATTTTATTTCTCTATTGTTTCTTATTTTCTCTTGTAATTCTTTGTATTTATTTATTTTATGAATATAATTTAATTCTAAATTATTATCTTGACATATAGCAACATATATAATATATCATTTCTTTTCTTTCATATTTTGATATTATATATCTTGTCTTCTATTATTGAATGAATTGTCACTAACAAATAAATCTTTATTGTAAGTTATAACCATTTTATCATTATTAATACATTTTGGAGGATTATTAAAATCAATTGAATCAAATTCATTAAAATGGGTAATTAATAAATGTTTAAATATTTGTTTACATATATAATCATGTTTTGATATTTGATTCGTTTTCATTACAGGACATCCTAACAAGATATGAATAATAGATGCAATTGTGTTATGACAATGTTTACAATATTTTAAAGCATCATTTTGGAGTATTTTTGCTTTAATACTTCATTTCATACTTACACCTTCTTGCATCTTTACTATTTTGAGGAATGCATTTCTTTTTATATTTAATGACCTCCAAGTGGCTACTGTTAATTTCTTATCATTGAAAGTGCCATTTGCACATCTTATATATTCACCACATTTCTTTTCTTTCCATTCACTTAAATATCTATCATTTAATTCATTATTTACCCATTCAAATACATTCTTTACATTGTTCTTTCTTTCATTTATTTCTATTACATTCATTAATTCATTAAAATTAATCTTCTTACCAAATACTTTCTTCATTCTTTTAATTATTCAATTTAGATTTTCTTTTATTGCTTCTATCATTTCTCATATTCCTGTGTTTGATCTCCACTTATATTTTAAATATATTCTTAATAATTCTTTACCACATTCATCTCTTGCTGACATTAATCCTAATCCCAATTCATTCATTTTAACATATAATCTACTTTTTGGGATATTTCTACTGTATAATTGGAGTTGTATTAATGATTTTCTTATTTGTTTATCTATCTTCTCCAATTCTCATAGTTTCCATGGGACAATACTAAATTCATATCTTAATTTGGAGATTATATCACTATTAATCTTTCTTATTGTATTGAGGCTGCTGTATTTCATAGTGTTTAATGATGATAAAATAGAAGATACAACATTTAATATTCTTGTACAATATTTATTAATATTTATTTTATCTCATATTTCAATATCAAGATATTTATAATGATTGTTATTAGTTACTCGTGTTAATTCAACAATTTCTCAATTTATTTGACTATTAATATTAGTCATTATCAAACTCTTTTCTACATTAATTTTTAATCATACTGCATTAAATATTTATTTAGTCAATTTGTATGATTTCCATTTCATCGAGGCTATTAGTCGTTATTTTTAAATCATCCATATACAATATGTGGTTTAACTGGACTTGTTTTTCTTCTCCATTCATTTTAATATTTAATTTGCTTATTTGTTTATCTAATTGTTTAGATAATATATCAATAGATAATACAAATAAAAGTAGAGATAAACTATCATTTGTATTATTCCTCTTTCTACATTAATCATACCTACACTTTCTTGATTGTAATACAAATTAAGTTGTGTATTATTTAATATATATAATATATTATTAATTACTGCTAGTGGGATATTAAAATATATTAAACATTGTTTAATCCATTGATGATTAATACTATCATATGCTTTAGAGACGTCATAATATGTTTCTACCAACTTCCATTTATTATTTATTAATAATTGTTGGATTATAGTGTTATATAATAATCCTTCTTTTGATGCATATGTATATTTTTACGTCCAATTTGATTTAATGAGAGTTGTTTTTCAATTGGATTTAGCATCAATTTGCTTTCTATTTTCATCATTAATATTGATGTATACACTTTTAACAGACAATTTAAACAAGTTATTGGTCTGTAATTCTGTGGGTCTAATTTATCTCCTTTTTTATATATTAATATTGTCCTTCCTTGAATAAAATGAGGAGGTATTTCATTAGGATTATTTAACCATTCATTAAATAATTTTAATAAATATTTCATTGGTTGTTCTAAATATTTAATCAAAAATCCTTGTATTTTATCAACTCCCGGTGCCTTCTAGTTAGCAATAAATTTAATAGCACAGTCTAGTTCATTGGGAGTGATTATTGACATTCTATCATTAATTCTATTTTCAATTAATATTTCATATAAATTAATATTCAGGAAATCTATATTAGTATTATTTTCATAGATTCCTTTCCAGAAATTAATAGTGGAGATATTATCTGGATATTCATCTTCTTTAGACTTATTTAGATGTTGTCTTTTTCCATATTTCATCATTTTATAATTCCATCTTATTCTTTTCCAATTATTCTTTCTTGCTTCTATTTCTTTTCTTTTCATCTTTCGGATGTATTTATAATAGTTTATTTGTTCAATTGTTTTTATTTTAATATGATATATATCATATTTCTTAATATGTAATATTCTTTTCAATTTCATATATTGTTTATTATGGAGTAAATATCTTATTCTACATATTTTTGACTGTAATATCCTTTCTATACTTCTCTTTCCACTTCTTTCTTGTTTATTTTTATTAATGATGTTAATAGTAGAAGATACTGATTTAATATAATGATAATAATCATCTAATGTATTGATTGATATTTCATTTTTATTAATAATATTAATTATTTGATGTACTTTCTTCTTATTGTAATAATAGTTAATAAATTGTACATCTTCTTGTTCTTTCATTTCTTCTTCTTTAAATATTTTCATTACCTCCTCTTCTTCTATTTCTTCTTTCTTGTTCACTTTTGATATTATTTCTTTTAATTCATTATCTTTCCATTGATGTTTTATTATTTCTTCTTCCATTATTCTATTGATTTCTCTTTTATTTTCATTCTTTATTTTAAATGTCTTCTTTATTATTTCTTTACATTCATTAATATCATTAACTTTAATTCCAAATTCATGTATTAATCTTTCTATTATTTCTTCTTTTAGTTGACCTCTTAATTTTCTTTCAAATAATTTCAAAGCAAAACATTTATAAAGTGTTAAAATTTCTTCTTTTCTATCTGTTTGCTTCAATTGTTTTTTTGATTATCTAATTCAAATGTGGTGATCTTCTTATGCTGAATATCCATTTCTTCAATGAAATTCTGCATTAACTTTCTTTTTTTAGAAGATCATCTTCACTTGATGATATTTCATCAGCTACTACCACATTGGGGGTGAGGTCATTTACTATTTGTGTTTCAGATGAGTCTGTTATATTGTCATTTTACCTCATCTTTCTTTTTTTCTTCTTGTGTATTTTTATTTTCTAATTTAGATAATTTATCTTTCAGGAATAATAATTGTTGTGTTAAATTATTTACTTCAGACATTTTCCTTTCAGATTCAGCATGGAATTTGAATATTTTTTTATCGCACTCGTGGTTTTTGTGCTTATCTCATTCTCATGCTTCTTCTTTAATGCCATAATATCTTTTGTTAATTTCTTAATGGTTTGGTCTTTTATTTGTATTTCATTTTTCATTTCTTCTTTCATATCCTCCTCCACTTTTTTCTATTTCTTCTGCTCTTTTTCTTCTCTTCATGATTATTCTTTATTTTTATTAGACTCTTTATCATCGTCTTCTTCACTTTCAATACTCATTACATAGTTATTGTATATTCTATTGTCTTTAATCTCAATAAGATCGAAGGTGGTACATCTGAAACACTACACATAAACCCTAGTACAAATTCAAGCTTCTACTTTCCCAGTTATTATCTGATTATGATACTGTATTTGAATATGAAATATATTAGATAAGATTGCAGATGGTGTAGCAAGATATTATGATTAAATATTCCATATTGTAATATATGAATTGGTATTCAATAATAAATAAATTATAAATATACATTAACCAAGGAAAATGATCAACTGAAGTGTTGTTAAGAATAAAAAGATTTGATCATAATAATAAGTAGTAATGAAACATCCTCTTCCGTTTTTCATAAAAT